ACCCCTGAACAACCTCACCTTCACCTTAGCAAATGTAAAAAAAAAAAAAAAATTAAAAAAAAGATTTTTTTTAAAGAATGCGTTCTGTCGTCATACTTGACTGACTGCCCTCCATTCACAAATCGACGTCTTACATTCCCGGAGTTTCCATGAGTCGCGTCTGGGAACCGTCTACTCCGGTCTGGCAGGAAACGATATGCCCCACATTCCATCAAGAGTGGAATTGTCCTATAATTATGTAACGCTAGCATGTAAGCGGAGCGTCATCGAACTAGTGGCGGCGTTCATGGCAGCTGGAGCGCCTCTTTGGGGCCTGCGCGGGTTGCAATTGCGGCTCCGTTTCTGGAATTTTTATTTTATTTTTTTTAAATACATTCACGATATTGAATTTCAACCCGGCGGGAGGATCGTAGCTCCACTCGACGCTGCAGCCGATGTGCCGTCTTGATGACGTGAACACCTTTACGCCCGCGGAGGTTTACCGGTCTGGTGTGGCTTGGCAACAGCTGGTTCATACGCTAATCCACTCATCAGTTAAATTAAAGCTTACTCGGTTGTGCGGTGAATGTTGATCCAGTGCGCCGCAGAGTCAAATTAATCACGGCGGAAGTCAGAAATATTCTCTCTTGGCGGCAGTATGTGAGATAAAGGTGGTTCCGAATGCTAAAAAAAAAAAAAAAATGTCTCCGCCAGCCTTCAAGTGCAGCTTTTGTCTGGCCGCCTTTGTGGGGGCAACACCTGGCGGATCACTTGTGCACTCGCTGTCATGTAATCCAGCGCGAGGCTGCGATGGATTATTCAGGCAGAGCTCATTACGACATTCGCAGATATTACACGCAGGGACGAGTCATCGCCGGGGTTTTCACTGAGTGGTTGTACAACCCAACACCAGCTTTAAAGAATCGAAAAGATAATCGCGGTCGTCGATTCGCTTGAAGACGTTAACTGAATGGGGCAAATGCTCAAAGACGAAATAAGAACATTGGCAGGGAGCTACTGTGGGCCACAAACGCTCAAGACGCAGACTAACCAACTCCAGGCCCTGGCATGACTCGCTTGTCCACGCCCCTGAAAGGCACAATTCCAACACAGACATATGACAGCAGTTATACTTTATGAAAGCATTTCTTAACAGTGTCTTGGATTATCTTTGCGGCCTCCTATCTGATTTCTTTTCATTGACAGGAGCGTGTGAAAAGGCGAAAGTGAAACAAGGCCATCTAGTGGTAATACGGAATGGAATTTTTGCCAGGCTGCTTTCAGCCATTTACGGATTTATACTCACTCGTTGTGGCGCACAAGTTGCTGCTGGGCACAAAGGCTTCCCCAACCTTTTTTGCTCCACGGACCAGTTTTAATGTCAGACAATATTTTCAGGGACCCAGCCCTTTAAGGTGTGGCGGATAAATGCAACCAAATAATATGATATGACCTGCATGTAAACGGTGATATTTTCAAAACATAATAATGACATCCTATCTGGCCGCAACGCTTTCTGGTCGCTATGGTAACATTTAAACATGCCTTCAAAATAAAGATACACCGCAAATAAAAAGTGCGAGAAAAATACGACTCGCCATCTCCGCATTTCATGCAGAGTCGGCTTCGTGCGTGGGAATATCTCGTTGAAATAAATCCATATTTTAAGTAAGAAGTCATGACACAGTCTATTAAATGTAGCATTCTTTTTCTTGAAAGCCGGAGGCCAGGGGTGACAAACTAATTTTTTGTCGCGGGCCACTTTGAAGTTTCAACTTCCCTCAGAGGGCCGGTGCAAAATCTCAATGTTGTTATTCATGACAATTTGACATTTCGATACAGATTTCAGCAAGACTCATGATACAGTAGTTCACACACATGATTTGCCCCTGCGGGCCACATAAAATGACGTGGGGGGCCGGATCTGGCCCCCGGGCCTTGACTTTGACACTGTATCTTAGGCCCTTCTTCTGTCTCCTGGCTGGGCCTTTTTCCCTTCCCAAAGAAACCTTCTAAAGACGTTTATTTTTTGACTCATTTTGCTAGCTCTTGGGTTTCATTTTAGCGTTAACCTATCACGTGACCTGCGTCAAGAATGATATAGAGTAGACGGATGTAACAGAGAATCCGGTAAATTTTCAAAATAAAACATCTTTCAGATTCCCAAATAAATAAAATGGAAGTAAGGTATTTATTCTTTCTGTGCGGCCCGGTAGCAAATGACCCACGGACCGATACTGGTCCGCGGCCCTGGGGTTGGGGACCGCTTGTCCTACGAGACAGCGTCATCCATCCATACCCTCCTCCTCCTCACCTTCTTCACATGACTTTGAGCACCCCCCTCCTCCTTTTCCAACTTGAATGTTCTGTTACTCAGGCGTCATTTGCATTGCGATAGCCTTCATGCGCTCTCTGCAATCTGCTTTCAATGCAAGAAAGTGAAGTAGAGGCCTGTTGTGCAAAGGATGGTCGCATTAAAAAAAGTATTTCAGTAGACAACACAGTTTCCTTCAAACACTTAAAATGACCACATTCTTCCACTAGGTGGCAGCCTAGCGCCTAACCCATTGCTGCAGTCTTAACGCCACAAACACACGCGCTGCAAATATGGTGAGGACCAAGAGTGGCAACATGAAATATGTAAGTCAACACGCACATGAGTAAATAATTAATGATTAATAAGTCAAAATTAAAATATATAAAGAAATATTGAAATAAATACGTAATTCATGGCACACTTATTTATTTAATTTAGGCAGCCTTGCACCCCCCGCCCTCCCATAAACATCCACATCGCTCATACAGGTGCCATAACAGCTGAGGAAAGGTTGCCAGGTCTGATAAGATGCCAATCAGGAGGATGTGACGTCATTCGCCAAGCAAGAAGAAAATGAGGGCCCGCAATCAATGGGGGGGAATGCGACCGGGTTTTCCTGCCCTCGAGTGAACCTTTCATCGGCAAGCTCGAGATCAGGGGAGGGAAGTAGGGCGCTAAGTGACCCCAGACAGCATTCAGACTGCAATGTCGGCGTCTCGGAGCAAAATCGTTTCTGTCTGTACCATATTTGAGATCACGATGACGAAAAGACCTATTTTGAGACCGGCGTCTTAGCAATCCTTCGAAAGTTCATTCCTCTTTATTCTCTGCTTCGCCCGAAGCCTTTGTTGAGTGCTTTTAGACAAGCGCTAAATTAGGAACGTTTATTAATATTCGGGGTCTTGTGAGAGAGCGGGGTTGGGCTGGATGGTTTCCCAGGATGCACTAGGAACACAACTGGGACCTCAGATAGAAAATGAATCACATTTCCACCTGGCTATGGCTAGTCCAGCCCACAAAGGTGAAGAGCATCGAAAAATATTACTTTTTAGACTAGTTGTGCTTGGGCATAGGCCAGTGTGATATTCTGAATGTGTTCTGTAGGTACATTAGTCAAATAAAATTTGTAAAAGAAAAGAACAGATTTTTTTCTAACCCAGCATCCATCTCATCTCCTTCATGTTCAGTTTGCCTTTCTCAACCGCAAATAAAATTTATTATACGGGTACAAGTGCGAGCCTTAAGCGTGTTCGTGACCAACCCCCCCTGAAAAAAATGTGTCATGGATGAGACAATTTCTTTGCCTACGCTTCCTCCTACGCATAATTAAAAATAAACAAACAACCAGCCAGTGTTGATGTTGCTTGACAAATCTGGACCGCTTCTGCCACGCACCCCCCCTCCTTCAATCAACTCCCACGGCCAGATCGGGACCTCTACCATCTACTGTAGCGCGGTCCCCCCTCCCTCTCCCCCTTCCCCCAAGGAGGACCACAGGGAGCGTGTCTCCCATCCTTTCCCCGTCTGCCCTTTCGTCTCCCTCGGTATGCATAATTTGGCCTTTTCTAAGCAGTTTATGTGCACTTACTGGAACATGTTGTCGATGATAGTCGGATCACCATCGAGAGATGTCGTTGAGCCGGAAGACTGACTGAAGATGAATACCAAGCAGAATGTGTACACCATTGTCGCAGTGTTTTTACTGTCCTTTTTCTCATTCTGTGCCCGATCGAACAAGTACCAGAAGTGATCATTTCATCCTGGAATTTCTATTTTCATACTGAAAAAATTTGCCTGAATAAATTAACTGCGTTTGACGTTGACGATGCAACTGTTGTTAATTTCTTAGATCCACAACACCATGTTTAAAGCGCAAACTGATACAATTGCAAAACAGGATTTAATCATCCAAACAAAAGACCTGTTACGGGAAGGTGTGCTATTTTTAGGTCCCTCTCACAGAGACCTCACTGATCCTTAACGCATCACTCTTTCTCCTCCCTAAGCTCTTGGAACGACCTCCCGTTAACTATAGAATCTGACTGATACGTCTTCTCGGATGGACCGGGTTTGCCTGGTATGACTCAGGCACCTCATCTGTGGACTGTGGGAATCGACATGAAGCTCCCATGAGTGGCGGTTTAAAAAAAAAAGTAAAGCAAAAGAAAATCGGGCAAATTCTCACTGGGCAGTGTTTGCGTGAAGCAAAAGGGTCATTCACAAGTTCTCAGAGAAGTTGAGTACAAACAGGAGGTGGCGTTTTTGCTTCTGGTGCCAAAAAGTGAGGAGATGCGTCCCCCCTCCTAAAAAGGGAGAAACATTTAAACGAGGGCACCCATCCCATCCCGTGCAGGTCTCTACATTCTACAAAGTCCAGGCGCGCAAAAGGCATACCTCGCCAGTTCTGCTTTATACCAGGAGATCCGAGAATGGCAGCTCAGGCAAGCTGCCGCCGCCGTTACAGTGTACCCGCCGGGGTTTACACAAGGCTTTTAGGGCGGCACACATCTCACGAATGATGAATGATGATGACGGCAGTACTTGTGCCTAGTATTTTTTTACCGGCACACGTTTACGCAGAAACAAACACATTCCAACAAGGGGACAAAAATGGGGTCCTGGGGCACACTCGACTCGTGCAGTGGTCCTCAACTAAACCAACTTTGGGGGGGTTACTGTACTATAACAAATCGTAAAGTCTTACCTGACGTACAAGGCTGGCGGTGGTGGTATCCGAGGACGTGCTCCCGTCCGAACCTTTAAAGCGACCTTTCCTGCAGGCGCCTTTGCTGAGACTCTTCAAAAACACAAAAATAAAACGATAAAGCAGCTGCCATGACTTACTGACAAAATAAATTATAATAAATAAGACGTTTGGTGTTGATTAATTAAAGTTGAATAATGACGAGTTTGTTTTTTCGGAAGCATTAAATGACACAAATGACATTGACCGGACCTAGAATTGCCGCCTAAATGTTGAGTTAACACTTTATTTTTTAACATTTTTTATTTATACACATTTTATTTATTTACCGGCTAGTTTTAATTTCACGATAGATTAATACTGAAGAAAAAAGCCATACAAACATCGCTGACGGCAAAAAGTCGTAAAACTGACACATTTACCACGAACTGGAGCCAAAATGTCGCCGTAGCAGGGGAGATTCACCAGTCACCTGCTAAAATTAATTTAACGGTGATTAAATAATACGCCCGTAACACACTTGACTCAAAACAACTTTGATGTCACGGTAGAAAGAAATGGAAATAGAACATGTTACACAAAACGACATTGGCCGTTCACGCAAATCGGAGCCAAAATGTCGCCGGAACAAGACCACACTTTCACCTGCTAACTTTTTAAGACGGTTAAAAAATAAAGAGGGGAAAAAAACGACTGAACTTACTTGAAACACCGGCTGCTGCAGCGAGTCCACCTCCATTATGTGCAAGTCGTTCTTTTTTTAGACGTAACGACGACGAAAATCACTAAAAACATATACATCCCTTCTTGGGGGGGGAGAGATCCTCTGCCGGGTCGACACGTTGGGAGAAGCGGGAGGGGCTTGAAGAAGAAGCACCGGTGATCATGATATTTTGGTGGCGGATGTTTTACAGCCTGCGGCATCACATCTTTTTTTTCCTGCCCACACTGGCTGCTCCATCCTTCCAACCGCCTCCTCATGACAACAAATCCAGCAGAATGAACTGAAAATTAAATCAATGCGTGGAACTTTTATTTATATCAAAATGTGAAGTGCGGAAGTCAGGTAAACAAAAAATATATATATTTGCAATTTGTTCTATGTGCCCCACCCCACTAGTCTAAACACAATCGTTGAGTTAATATTAAGTTTGTGGAATATGAATGTAAGAAAGTAGGAAAATCCACTCTTTTTTATCCATTTCACGGCCATTCATTTTATCCCATACTCGCACCTGCAGTCGACGAACTGACGTCATAGTGCCCAGGGGCTCAGCTTTCGAACCTCACGTGACCAAATCCGGAAAACAGTACTAATGATTGAGTGGGAACTACAGTATTAGCAATTGGCAAACCAGCTAAATGTTACGTGACCAGCACAAACCAAAATTATTATAGTTCACAAAAACTAACAAAATAACAACAAAATCTTGCCCGAAATAAAACGAAAATGCTTAAAAAAATCTAACTAAAACCACATCTTACGTTTATAAAACTAATTAATTTTATTTCTAGAGAATATATCCCGTGACGTATTATCAGATATTCTTACATTACACAGTTTTATAAAAACATATTAATGATACAATTGCATCAACCCAGTAACCTATTGTTACAGTACTTAAGGTAAGGCTATATCGAAATGGCCAAAGTACTTAGGAAAAAAAAAACTCAGCATTTTTTTTTTATTTTTTTTTTTATGAGGACCATCTTGCAGTGTCACTGGAACGCCATCTGGTGGTGGAACCTCGTGCATTATCCCAATGAATACATCTGGCTTTTCAAGACAAGAGATTACACCGATGGAGAGGAATATGTCAAATATCATCAGTTTGTCGTAAATAGGCAAAAAGTGGCTGACTCCTCCCACATGTTCTTTTCACTTGCAAACATGTGCTACTCACCAAGTTCAGGTGCGCGGTGGTAAGCAAAGTAGACGCCTCCATAAGAAATCCACATTTATTTGTCGTGATTATGATAATACTAGAATTTGAGATCATGTTCAAAGAGTGCAAGCAGCAGGAGACAGGCCCAACCTGACACGAGGCCAACATTCTGCAGAAGGAAGGCAGTTAACGGTCGTCCGCTCCGCAAGCGACTCATCTCGGGAAGCTGGCGGAACAAAGAAAAGGAAGATGGAGAAAAGAATCTATTAGCTTATTTTTAATTTCAGACAGGAAGCCTGTAGTATCTTATGAATATATTGTTCGCCTTAAGAAGGTAATGTGTTAGTTACATACTACTTTAGACAAGTAGTATGTTGTAATGCAATTGCTAACATTAGCTAGGTCACTGCCGCAAAATAAGTAGCGCATCGTAGGATCTAAGAGAGAGATGCTTATTGCTAGCTTCTAACAGGTAGCATATTGAAGCCCCACTGCTAGCTTAAATTCGGTAGCATGTGGTAACTTATCTCACCATCTGCACTAGTGACAAGTAGAGGAAAATCCCCGCGGTCACTGCAAAGATCCACTGCTGCACCTGTGCCTGAGCCGAGACGAAGAGTCCAATGTAGAGGCCCGCGAAGGCCGTCAGGGCGCTGACAAAATTCATGACCACGGCTGTCTTCACGGGGAGTCCGGAGCTCAAGAGCACCGCAAAATCTCCTAAAAGAAAAAAAAAATAATGATAAATTCAACAATTCCTGACCTTGGATGGTGGAGTAAGTCCTCACCCATCTCGTGGGGGATCTCGTGGCACAAGATGGCAACTGTCGTCGCCATGCCAGTCTCGGGCGACGATGAGAAGGCGGCGCCCACCACTAGGCCGTCAGCAAAGTTATGGAGACTGTCGCCGACGATGACCATCACGGCCAGCAGGGGAACGCCACGGCCTGAGGAAGCCACCACCACGTTGGGTTGTTCAGGACTTCACCGGAACCTTGCTAGCGGACCGCTTTGGTCTTCAGCTTACTTTTTTCCGAAGGCCTCTGCTCTGGAGATGTTTCTGCGTCTTCATCCACCGGTCCCTGCTAGAAAGTAACACTTTGAGTGGCTTGTTGCACGTACAAGTAGCTACTTTGTCATATTGCCTGTGGTTATTTTGCTTGTAAAAAAAAAAAAAAATTAAAAAAAAAAAAAAAAGAAAGAATGAAAAACAACAGTGAGAAAATGTGACATTTTCCAGCCTCCCTTTTAAAAGCTCTTCAAAGTACAACCGTAACGAGCCTCACCAGCTGTATGGTAGAGATGGACTTGCCCCTATGGGACGGACCCTCGCAGTTACCCCGAGAGTGGCTCTGAAGGGCGAGAAGAAGCAAAAGGTGCTTTGAGAACTCCAAGCATTTTTGTCGGGAACTTACATGTCCGTTTGGAGGAACCAGGAAGGAGAAGATCCTCTCCATGAGGAAGAAGCAGTAGATGCCGGCCACCACGCCGACAATCTTCCACAGGTAGTCCGTCCGCTCCGTGAGCTGTTCCTCATCGTGTCCATGGAGGCCGAGGATCTACAAAGGCGGGAAAAAAACAAATTCATTCATATAAAATCCTGATTGATCTTGATCCCGGCATGTCTATGGCTTCTCGCATTACTGTTTGATTGCTTTTAAGATAGCGGATGCTCGTTGTTGAACTGATTTTTATTTGACATGTCTTGGCCCTGAACGCCCAACCATTGGTTGACTGTCCGTGAGCGTCTCACCTGCGGGATGAGGTGAAGGAGGGCATCGCCTGAGAGGGTCCCCACGGCCAGGCCTACAAAAAGCTGCAAGATGAGCGTGTAGGTCTCCTGGCAGGAGTTGAAGAAGATCAGGCAGATGCCTAACATGGATCCCAGAGTGATGAGCAGCACCGCCGCCGTGCTGTAGCCATACTCTTGCCAAGATTAAAAAAAAGTGAAGATACAGTCATATTTTTTGATCGTTACTATTTTGGAATCATTAAAAATATAGGGAAGGAAACAGGAGGTCAAATGTCTCACTCTCAAACGCGGTGGGAGATCCTTTAACGTTGCGCTCTACCGAATCGCACGCATTGCCGAGCAACTGCTGGATGATGGCTGGGCACATTTGTCCAAAGTGCTCCTTCGAAATGGGCAGTTGTGGATTCAGAGCAAAAATATACACCAGCTGATTGGCTGAAAAACACACCTGTTAGGATTCAAAGAACGACACAACCCGATGAGCTCTCGGCGTCTTCTAAAGTTCGCCTCCGCTTCGTCGGAAGTGTTAACCTGCGCCCAGTTTCCGGCTTCGTGGTTGCAATTCTCTGGCGAATGCCCCGACTCGCTCCGTGAGCTTCGCCTCTTTCTGCCGTGAGCGTGCGGTTTTATTCCTTCTCCACCGACGCCGAGTTGGCGAAGCAGCGCCTCCAGATCTTCAAGATAAAAAAAAAAAAACGATTTACAGGCGTTGAAAAAGGGGCACAAAATAGCGAGAGCAACTATGTTCTAAAAATACTAATACTTAAAAAAAAAAAATGTTGAAAAATGACATCTCACCTAAAACTTGGAGTTCACTGGTGCGATTGAGGGAGTGAAAGATGTAATTGGTAAAAAACGCCGGCGGTGGGAGGTTCCTCTGAGCGAAACAGGGACCCTGCAGGAGGTGACTGATGATGGCGGCAGACATTTTGGCTGCGGACGCCATCGTGGCGCCTTCTTTCACGTCTTCGAGCAGACGCGTGGCGTCAATACACTGGACGAGATGATACACTTCAGTTTCTTCAATCCAGTAAAACTCTAATGGCAGTTTCTAACCTGCAGGTTGGACATAGTCGAACTTTCTTGTCTGGAGAGGTTTTTGTGCTGGTTGATGATCTGAAGAATTCCCTCCAGTTCACTCGACGAGAGGACACCGCTTTCCTCCGCTGCGTGGAGATCGGTGAGAGCTCGCAGGTAAAACTCGTAGCTCCGGGTGGCCGAAGGAGATGAGCGGCACAGCTCTCGAAGGTTTAAAATGTAATACAGCAGAAGAGCGGAGAGACGCTGGAAGTCGTCCTCGGTCAGGAACGGCTTCCCGTCATCCTCCACCACGGATAGCGCCACGTCCGGTGGAAGGCACTGGAAAGAAGAGGGTGATTTGTTCGAAAAGTCTATCATGGCACCTTGTCCCCAGAGGCAGCGGGTATCATTATCGTAACATTACTTTTGTTCTCTTATAAAAGGTACAAACAAGTCCTTGTTTCGGTCTTGTCAACAGAAACGGGTCCAGTAAGAGCTGACTTTTGACCTTCAAAGGACAATTTGGTTCTTGGTTCTACTTTGTCAACCAGTCCCCAGAAGCGGAGGTTGAGTAGCAGTACCATATTGGCCCGAATATGAGACGGCCCTGATTATAAGACGACGCCCTCTTTTTCAAGACTCAAGTTTGAAAAAAGACTTTTTGAACACCAAATTAATTTTTATACAGAAAATAATTACAGTACATCTGAAACAAATGATTCTAACAATATATTTGAGAGAAATATGTTATTTTGCCTCATTCAAATGTTAATATCTGAACATTTAAATATGTAAACTAAAGTGCAATCACACTCGGAAATGAATGGCTTCTGGTTTTTGAAACGTAAATGACATCATAACTTCTCCTCAGCTGCCGGTTAACCTGGCCGATCTTCGATCCACTTTTCTCCAGATTGTCACGACGTTTCTCCATTTTCTGTTATCTCTTCAATTATTTTCGTCTCTTTTCTTTCTTACCGCTATTTTTTGTTTTTCTCCTTCGTGCTACCGTTATTTTTATTTTTATTCTTATTCTTCGTGGCAGGGGTTCGCTTTGGCCTGGGGAGTCAAGTTCAGCATTCGCGTCAATGGTATCTGGCGCCATCTAGCGTCATGAATGGGTATAATGTCTAGACCCCGAATATAAGACGACCCCCACTTTTTCAGTCTTATTTCAATGCAAAAAACACCGTCTTATATTCGGGCCAATACGGTATATTTTTAAAGGTACAATCTGGTCCTTGCTCCTACCTTGTCACCTTGACTTTTAGGGTACAATTGAGCCCTTGTTGAGACCTTGTCCCAGGTCGAGTATGAGTCCGCTTCTGACCTTCAAAGTACAATGTCGTCCATGGTCCTGTCTCATTCCCAGAAACAGGTGCAGTAGCAAACCATTTTGTCCTTGTAGGTACAATATAAACTGCGATTCCGGTAAAATGAACCTTTAAAGTGGACCCAGTGATTCTTGGAAAAACTGGTTCATTGGATTTGGATTTGAAGGAGATTGTTGTCTACCCAACGAAAACACTAAGAGGGTTGGTGAAGCACTAAATATTGAGAGTAATCTTTTCAAAAACAAAAGAATTCCGAAATCTCATAAGGAGGACTCCTTTCGAAGCTCCGGACGCCATTGTCAAGCCACCTTGCAGCGACGTGAAGTAGCCGCGAGTCCACTCCATGGGTTTTCACCGTGTCAAATGCAGGGATGTCCCAAAGAAAGCCACTTAGCATGAATGAGCCATAAAAGGTTAAGAACGTAAGCCTCACATTCCAGTCTTGACAAACACACAAAGTTTTAAGAAATAAAAGTTGTTTTGTTGGAGATGGGCCTACCTTTTCACAGACTGTGAGAGATGTACCCGTCCTCTCCGGGCAATTCACGGCCAGAAGAATCGCAGAGACCAAGATACCGACGTGGTTTTTCTGTAGGTGCGCCTCTTCATCTTGATCGAACGGTAGATCCAAGACTCTGAGGACGTCCTGTAGATTAGACTCCGCGTGCGCTCTTGCGGGCAGACACATCAGCAGAAGCAGAAAATGAAGAACTGCAAATCCCTGGGAGCACATGTTGCTGTCGAATCTTCCCGAGATGAGGTGACCATCCAAACGCGGAGTCCGGAAGAAGGGGACGGGTGGGCGGTGGGGGGGGCGCTTGGCGGTCACCCTCCGCTTGAACTAACCCTTACAGTGCAGCCAAAAGCCGGGGCCCTCAGTCCACAACAAAAGGATTAGTGCAGCCAGTCAGAGAGCCACGGGGGCAGGGAGAGGGCGGCGGGGGGTGAGGGAGGAAAGCATAATTAGTATTTCGGAAAAAAAAATTGTTTGGCACTCAAGGCAAGGGGAAAAACAATTCACTTAATGAGATCACTGGGAATGCTTTATGGGGCACGGTACATCAAGTACATCTCTCCTAAAAGTCCTTAACATCAGGTTTTGTTCATGATCACCGCTCGTGCTGGTTTTTTTTCGTCACGAAAATCACTTTTGAACATCCTCCCACTCCGGGTCAAAGCGACCGAGCAAAGTGAGGAATGTTTGTGAAGCCAAACTCTACCTGTCCAAAAGGTGATAAAAGCCCACTCGTTGGCTATGTGGGTAGAATTCAGAGTCCTGGAAAAAAAAAAGGGTAATTATTGGAAGTAAGCTCTTGAGGATTAGTTGCCATGGAGAGAGTTGCCTAGTGGGCAATTTGGAGGTGACTGAACGGCAGAGACGCCCACTGGAGAAATATTTAGCTGTTTTGTTTTAATAACCTGGTGGAATATGTGTTAAGAGGAGCACAAACATTTTTTTTTTTTAATCAGGCAGATTCGAGCATCTTCACTACTTTTGGATCAAAGACAGCGTTTATGAGAGGTCACTTAAAGATCTGAGAAAAGGCCCGATTGTCAGATGTCTCGAAAAGATGATCCTATCGTGTGCGCCGTGTTGGAGTGAGTTCTTGTTCCCTCGGGAGAAAATGACCGTTTTAATTTTCAATCTAAATTCTTTTATTGAATCTATTTACAATGTCAGCCAGCGGAGAAAAACAAAAGACAAAAAAAAAAAACGTAGCCAATTAATTTAACAAAAGCATCTTCAGATTATCTTTACCCTTGAAGCGCTGTTGTAAAAACAAGAACACATGATTCTTCAAAGTTAAAAAAAAAAATCCTATGTACACTTCTTTTTTTTTTTTGGAATCACATCTTTTGGAGTGTCACGTAGTGCAGTTCCAGTACTCACATAGATTATTAAAATCGGGGAAAAAAAATCGAGTTTGTCATTAGCACAGATTAGCGGCCGATGGCGTCCGACTACGCTTGTTCATTCTGCTCAATGTTGCCCACCAGGCTCTTGGTATCCACCAGAGCTCGGATGGGATTACTGAAGTACAACTTGTTGATGAAGGTGGACTCCCCCGAAGGGGCGGGAGTAGGCATCTTTTTCCGGAAGAACAGGAAAGCGACCAGTCCCGCCAGGGCCAGGACCACCAGCACCACGGCCGCGCTAATGCCAGCGGAGCCATTGGACACCTCTTCCATGATATGAGCTATTTCACGAAATGTAGAATGTGAATATTGAATAGTGTTGAACGTTATGGACGGTATGTTTTTCAATACTCACCAACAGCTGGAGGCTTTTCTGTCGGCGTGATAACTGGAAAAATTTGGCTCGGTGTTAGTAAACTGCCGCTCTTTTTTTATAAGAGCAAATACACACAGTATTCGTGTGACAAAGACTCTCCGTAATTTCTCCTAACAACCTGGGCTAAACTTTGCTCATCCACCAAAGACCTTAGAAGAGTCTATATGTATTCCTTCAACGTAATTCCTTGACACCAATAAATACGCTCTTAATACTCAGGACTTTGGCGCCATCTTCTGACTTCTACCAGTGTTAAAAAAGTCCCCCTCCCCCCCAAAAAAAAAACAATTAAAATAAACACACTTCACGGAGAAAAAAAAAAGACAAATTGTGAATAGCGAACTGCAAATAGGCATGGGTTAAGTGTATGTGAGGAAGAGAAGGGGCCCCCGGAGAAAGCCCTGGAGCACTCCTGTATTGATTGATGATTACTGGGGGATGAATTATTTAAGACGAAAGAACTGTGAAGTCACAACCGACGGAAAAGTGACTCTACCTTTATTTGTTTTGCAGATGTATGAGCGATATCTGCTGCAGCTGGTGGTTTTCCATTTCCCGCTGTCGGAAAGGACGTCCACGCACGACTCGGATGCCGGCATGCCCGCCTTCCAGTTGGTGTAGTCCACTGCGCTGTTGTCAATCCACAACCACCGACCTTTGACAATGAAGCTCTCAGACTTAGCCCCACCCAGAGTGGCCATGCGGACGAGGTGAACGAGCGCAATTCTTACTGTCATGTGTTTTGTACAAGCCGATCCAGAAGCTCTTGGAGCCGTCCTGCAGGAGTTCCAGGTTTTGTTGGATGAAAAGACTCTCCTGGGGGTCCTCGATGCTTGCCAGAGATGCCCCTGTGGAAAAGCCAATAGGATGCACGATTTATATACCACGTCCCTCTGAAACAGTGGTAAAAGTCATTCCGGCATACCCATTTTCAGACATTCCACGGAGGCGTGGGCCCAGTTGTCCACAAGCGAGCTCAAGAAGGCGTAACAATGACCCCGGAAGGGGATCCAGTTTGCCTTATTGTTCTTTTCCGGACAACTTCCGGCCAGCTGAGGAGGCTCTGTGGGTGCCAAATCTACGAAAAAAAAGGAAGTCCTTGCAGAGACATTAAGATGGCGGCGAAGTCCGAGCAGAGATTTTTTTTCCCCGGACCTGGTGAGCTCTTGCAAAGCGAGTAGTAGGTGTTGCTGCACGCGGCCGTCTTCCAGGTTTTGTCGACGTCCATGTACACACAGCCATAGTTACTCTTAGGCTCGTCTTTGCCCCATTTGGTGTACGACAGGAGCCACTTGTCCACCCACTTGTAGCGACCTCCCGTCTGTTCGGGGGAAATCACAATTTGAAGCTCAAGAACTTTCTATTGAGACATTTTACGATATGTTGCTATGCTGCTCGCGCGTCTCCTTTACCACATTGCTGTTAAGACCGATCCATACAGGCTCCTTGAGCTTGGAAATCTGCAGTATGACGTAGGCTTGCGCCACGGGGTTGAGTATGCTGGCCAGCTCGGAGTCATCCGCCTGGCACTGCCTGCGGGCCTCGTCCCAGCGCATCTTCTGCGTTAGAAGCTTGTACGAATCGTTGCCCAGCTTGTAGAAGGCCTTGGATGACACCGTGGTGGCCGCAGGCTCGATCTGGGTATCTTTGGAGACGAATCACGTTAGTCGGTTTGATTGCTGACCCCGATTGGAACTGTAATAGTTTAAACCATCAACATATGTTCAAACCATGGAAATAAATGGAGAAGGCAATGATGATTGATTTTTTTTTAACGAATATTTATTGAGAAAATAAAAAGTCACATTTTTTAGATATTTTTATTTCGAAAAGCTTGTTTTTTTCTGTGAATATCATTTTTTTAAATGAAATATTTTTTTAAAGAGAAATTCTAGATTTTTAAAACAAGTCAGTGCAGCAAACTGTACATTAAAAACATTAAAAAAATACATGAAAATATCCGCGATAGTCCATTTTTGCCCAATGTTTTTTAAAAAGGGAAGAAATAAGGCCAGCAGCATAAATTAAATAAAACATTTAAATGATTACAAAAGGATTGTGAGCTGTTGAATATTTACAGGAAATGATCCCCTCACCAAAAGTCTGTTTGTTTGTTTTTTTACGATCTATTCTTTTAAACAGCAAATACTATATTTTTCTAGTTTTTCAAAAAGGGCCGCTAAATGTTTTTTTTTTTTATGATCGTCATTCAAACTATATACAGAATACACATTATTTTCAAGGCATTTGGGGGGTGGGATAAATAAATCCAGCAGAAGAAAAAGTTTTATACCAAATTATTTTTCGAAATACTCCATTTGACTTGCTGTAGATTTACAGCCTTAGAATAAAAAAAAAAAAATCACAATATATATTTTAAGAAAATAAAAAACTTAAAAAGATGAAGCTTGATGCCAAAATGAACCCCCAATTTTTTTTCTCGAAGTTGCAATATTACAAGCAGTACGTCGAAACCACCCGAACTGAATACTTTATTATAAAAAATGACGATGCTAATTCGTTGCTGGCATTACTAACCGAGGTTCCTTTTACAAATGAAGCCGCGCTTTTCCCCACAATCGTCCACCTTCCAAAGTCCAATTTTTTTCGGAACGCTGCCCACCATCATCACACAGTCAAAAACCTGCTGAGAAAGAAAAATACAACGGCGTCTTTAGATGCTAATTGAATGCTAACACGTCGTGAGAAGCGCCATTGGCATGCTAATGATTAGCATTGCTAATCGCGGTATTGCAAATCTTAATGCATATTTACACTTGTATCCAGTTAATATGAAGACATAAGACCTCATTCATGAAGGAGTAGCGCCCCTCCGGCGTGGATGTAGGATGTCCTTTGGCCCAGTTGGTGTACGACACGCCTCGACCGTCCGTCCACACGAAGTGCATTTCCCAGTTGATGTCGTTCATGCCGAGCCACAGGTCCTCCTCGTACGTCAACATCTGAGTGGTCACGAAAGCTGAACGAAGAAAATTTGGGCATTTATGATTAAACGCAATTTTTGGGAGTGTAGATGCATTTTTTTTGGGACAGTTGTCTCATTTCAACCTGTGCTTGGTATACATTAAACACGTATTAAACACTTGACACCAATTACTGTACGACAGTAATCCCTCGCTATAACACGGTTTATCTTTCACGGCTTCGCCATTTCGTGGATTTTTTTTTTTAACAGCGGATTGCGTTCTGCATTCTGAAAGAGGTTGAATCTCTGTTTTCCTTCAATACAGTATTGTATTTTACATGTAATCGTTGTTTAAAAAATTATGTAGGGTGGTTGTTCGTCTCTGTGTGCCCTGTGATTGGCTGGTAACCGGTTCAGGGTGTCCCCGCCTACTGCCCGAAGACAGCTGAGACAGGCTCCAGCACGCCCCGCGACCTTTGTGAGGATAAGCGGATCGGAAAATGGATGGCCTGTACTTTCCTATTAAGACAAGGCTTTGGTGGCATCCTGTGACACTATCAGGAGAACGTTTCACAAATTCTCAGGGCATTGAGTCGATCACATTTTACCTCTCATCTGAGCTTGCTACACCCGCTCACACAAGGCTTAGCAGTCCAATGCAATCGATTCGAAGACCCGGCTTTGGCGTACCTTGCTCCTGCTCGCTGACGATAGACACCAGATTCCCTCCCTGGTTTTTGCAGTAATCCCTGGCATCCAGCCACGTTTTTTTGTCGGCGTCCACGAACTTGAAGCACTGTGCAAACCAGATAAGAAGTCAAGATAACCAAAGAAATTAATCACCAGTGAGAGGTTTTCTCATTTGAGAGGAAGGACTTCAAAGAGGCGCCTGTTTGTCCAGAATGCTCCAACTGCGAGGTGCTTTGGTCCAACATAAGGTGGCTGATGTTGGCTCAAAAAAAAAAAAAAAAAAAGTATTGCCAAAATGTAGTCAAATATAAATGATGTGTTTGAGGTCAGCTATTAGAAAACGGCAGTTGTTTGTGTGCATTCAAACTCTGCCTGTGGCGAATGATTCCCGGAATCCTCTTGCTGCTTTGTTGGGGACTTTAATCTCCACCTCTCGCATGCTAAACGCTTTCAAACTGTTCATATTAATT